GCCAAAATAACATAACATCATATATAAGAATTATAGGAAACAATTCCGGATGATAAAGCTTCGATCTTGAAAAAAAATAAAAAGTCAACCCCAAGCCCGTATCTCGGAACCCGACCAAAATTATAAAATTCGAACACCCATTTAATAACGAGCAACCATACAAGAATTACTCAAATTCGACCTCTAATCACCTTTCAAATCTCCAAAGTTTAGTTTGAGAAGTTTTCACAATTTCTCCCTAAATTTCCAACTTAAATCATTAATTTAATGAAGAAAATGACAATGGATTCATGAAATATAATAAGATTCTCGTAAAGAACACTTACCCCAATGAATTCCTTGAAAAACCCACAAAAATGATCATTAACCGAGCTTCCTAGGTCCAAAAATGAGTAATGAAATCAAAACCTTGAATTGGGAATTAATATTTGCTGCCCAGAAATTTGCACATCGTGATCGCAAAGAAGGAACAACTATTGCCCAAAAAATGTACTGCGCGATCGCGAAGGAATGCATGTGATCACGAAGAAGAAGAAAATATCAGCTGCTAATGATGTGCTATGCGAACGTGACGAAGGAGAACTCACATGTACGCGATCGCGAAACACTCCCTGGGCACGCGAAGAAGGAAGTCTACCAGCCACAGGAACATGCTAAGCTAAAGCGGTTTGAACCTTGCGATCGCGTATAAGTGAACACCAGATATCAGATCAACCATTCCAAAACATAAGAAAATGGCTCGTAGCCCATCTGAAACACACTCGAGGACCCCGAGATCCCGTTGAAATATACCAACAAGTTCCATAACATAACGCGGACCTGCTCGAGGCACCAAATCACATCAAACAATGCCAAAACTACAAATCGCACCTCAAATCGAACTTATGAACTTTCAACTTCTACAACTCACACCGAAACATATCAAAACAACGCGGAATGACATCAAATTTTGCCTGCAAGTTCCAAATGATATAACAGAGCTAATCCAACTCTCAGAATCACAATCCAAGCCCGATATCAACAAAGTCAACTCCCTGTCAAACCTTAACCTTCCAAAACTTCAACTCTTCCAATTTTGGTCAAATTGCATCAACTTAACCAACAGACCTCCAAATCCAAATATGGATACTTTCCTATATCCAAAATCACCATACGTAACTATTGGAATCATCAAAACACTATTTCGGAGTCGTCTACACAAAAGTCAAACTCTGATTAACCCTTACCGCGTTAGCTTCTAAAACAAGAGTTGTCCTTCTAAACCCATCCTGAAACATCTGAAAATCGAACTCGACCACGCACGCAAGCCATAATACATAATACAGAGCTACTTGAGGCCTTAATCCACCGAACGGGATGCAAATTCTCAAAATGACCGGTCGGGTTGTTACATTCTCCCCCTCTTAAACAAACGTTCGTTCTCGAACATGCCAAAAACCATTCTGAAGTCATCAATTCACTGAACGAACTTATCATATATATACTCGCGGGTGACCCCACATTACCCCAATCCACATAGGCCTGTCAACACCATCTTAACTGAAAATTATTCCTTCCATCCACACTGGCAAACCATAGAACCAAATTTCTCACTATCCGATCATTCCCAAAGGACCCAATTTCCATATATACACATGATATCAACCTCAACCAGCTGCAACAACTCATGCCTACACCCACACAGTACAACCACACGACGTAACACCTCACACATATGCCCATAACAATACTCTAGCCACAATAGATGCCCATAATCAAATCCAGCACTGACGAATAACCTCATCTCAGCTAAAACCTCTTCCCAGACCTTCACAATGCTAACAATGATGCAAGAAACATGAGGATCTCATAACCATTCACTCGAATCAATATGTCACATCTAACGCCACCTACGCACACACCTCGCAAGCTAAAACCCAATAAGCACCATGCAAAAAAGAATGACCTAATATACAAGAAGACACGTGAGAGAATTATCAAACAAGCCTGGCAAACACAACTCCCTGTCAGTATCATACTACGAATCAATTCCACAATGAAGAATAAAAGTATATGAACAAATCACAAGGATCTCATCCTAATATAACCGGCCCGCGGCCCAGTTCAAACATATCAAATAACATGAAGATGCGAGGATCCCATCCTCAACTCTGAATCACAAGTAGCACACACATCATACCAACTGAAACCTTCCACTAATTCAATTCCGCTAAAAAAATCACAACATATACCGGATCCCTATACCGGTAGAGCATCCAAATTACAAATCGTAACCAACCACCTAGAAATCACATCAAAACATATTGTAATGGGTAAACGAAAGTCACTTCTAGTCTCATAGCTCTCAATAATGAATGAAATAAAATGACAGACATGATCTACCACTATAGAATCTCCTAATAGAGGTAAACACATATACAAAGTACAAAATCACAAAGCTCACCCATATGTGAAGCAAAATAAGAGGACTCCCACCGATAAAGAGAACAGAAACAAAATACGAATGATGTTCGTCTATAACAAACTAAAACCATAGCTGTACAACATCATCTGGTAAAACGGCCTCAACCCTACCATAGAAATCACATCAATGGGCCAGGTCCCCCTCTTGGGCGCCCTCCACTCATTTGACCTGTACCCCAAGCTGGCAATGCAGGGATATCAGTAACTGGAGCATAACTCATAGTCTGAATACCTCGCTGTGACACCTCTGTCTGGAGTCTGGGAAAATATGTCACCATGTGGTTGGTATCTCCACACTCAAAGAAACTTCTTCGCTGGCGTGGATGTGGAAGTTGTTCGGTGCGGTTACCCTAAGACCCATGGGTACCTAAAACACAATGCGAAGGATGAAGTGTAAACTAACCGGCTGACCCATAAAACCTCTACCATGTCGTACCCTACCCTCAAAGTAGGGAACAATAGATCATCCTGCTCTACGAGGCCTCTTAGCCTTCTTGTCCTCTCTCTACTGACCCCACATTCCCTTTAATCGGCGAGCAATCTCTACCACCGGCTAAAATGGAACATCCGACTCCAACTCCCGAGCCATGCTAAAACAGATATCATGACTGAACCCCTCAATGAACCTGCTGACTCGTTTTCTAACTGTAGAAACTAAAGTGGGTGCATGTCTGGACAAATCGCTGGATCTAACGGCATACTCTGACACTAACATAGTACCCTGACACAATTGCTCAAACTCCGTGAGCCATGTATCCCGAAGGTTCTAGGAACAAACTCTCTCAAGAATACCTCTGAAAACTGAGTCTATGAAAGTGATGTTGTATTTGTCGGGCTACCAACTCGTATGCTTGCCACCACTGATATGCCGCTCCCATAAGCTGGAACGTAGTAAAAGCAACCCTACTTGCCTCCACAATACCCATAGTGTTGAAAATATGATGGAACTCTTCAAGAAAACCACGAGACTCCTCTGAAGCCAAACCACTGAAAGTAGGAGGGTGATACTTCTTGAACCTTGCAAGTCTAAGATGTTCCTCCTCATATGTTGTTTCCCTAACCACAGGCTGAACTAGAACAACAAGTTGTTCGGCACCACACCCAGAACCTTACCAATGTGAGCCTACTGCTCTGGAGTATAGGTGGCGGGAGTTTGAGCTCCTCCCCCTGTTTGTGAAGTAGTCGTACAACCGGAATCAACCCCGCCTGAGCGAATGTTCAAACATGCTCGGGAACTTTGGTAAAGTCTTTTGAAGTCCCAAGGTAGCAACAGGCGGCTCCGGTACCTGTCCCACAATAGGAGCTACTGGCGGCTCCTCAATTGCTGCTCTGATAGGTGCTCTAGCTGTAGCACGTGCTTCTCCTCTGCCTCTGTCTCTGCCTCTTCCCCCTAGAAACGCTGGCTCTAGGGCAACGTCATCAATGACTGTAGCTCATATCCTCACCATCTGTGAGAGAATATAATGACAAAGGCTCAAACTCCGAGATTAATAAACTCGCACAATAGGAATGAAGGAAGTGAAACTATCCTAATAATTATGTAGCCTCTTGAAGATAAGTACAGACATCACCGATCCATAAGACTCTACTAAACTCTCTTATGACTCGTAGCAACTATGAACCTAAAGCTCAGATACCAACTTGTCACGGCCCCAATTTACCTCTGTAGGATGTCATGATGACACCTAATCACTAATTCTATGTAAGCCTAACACTTACTGAATTAAAGACATAATTTGACAAGAAATAACTATTAAGCATGAAACTGAAATTTCTGTAGTAAACCCATAATCCCAAGTGCAATACAAAACCCAAAACTGGTAGTACAAGCCATAAGCTCTATTGAGTTTGCTAGAAAATCCTTAAGTACAACCGTTCTAGAATAGAAATAAATAGTACAAGTACAATATGAGAAGGTGACTCTGAGGCCTGCGAACACGACGACATGTTTATCTTGAGTCTCCATAGCAAAACCCGAACAACTAGCTAGTGATCAACCAACTCTGAAATACCTGGATCTGCACAAAAATATGCATAAAGCCTAGCATGAGTACACCATAGCGGTACCTAGTAAGTATTAAGACAAACATCGGTGGAGTAGTACCGAGGGACAGTTGTAGACATGTAATTTTTGACTCTCCCCAAGATTTTACATATTTTAGCGTTTAGATATTTAGTTTATGCCTAATATTGCTATTTTACCTAATTTGAACTATTTTACTTTATTTTAAGGCCAAAAACTGAAAATTACAAAAATAGTTCCATATTTCCATATTTAATTCACGTATTAGATATTTTTGGAAGGATAATATTATTTTGAACCAACTTTATTTTAATATAAAAATTGAACACTAAAAAAATAGTTTCAACTTAATTTTAATTTTATTTGAATATTAATAGTTTATTAAAATCAATTAGTAAGAGTAATTTTATATCTTTTATAAGTATTCATATTACTTTAAAAAAAATTGAATTTTCAGCTTTCATAGCCCATTTTTTGTAGGAAACTAGAGCCCAATTTTGAATCCCAAATCTTGTTAGCCCAACCCTAAAAGAACCTTCGGCCATTCCTTCTTCTTCATGGAACAAAAACCCTACACATGAGAGAAGAGGGGAGACCTAAAAAAACACCATAGCCAGACCCAACTTCTCTTCAACCGAGAGGAGTCATTTCTGATAAAAAAAAACCCAGTGTTCTTCTGCCTCTCGACAACACCACTCGAGCCTTACCATAAAAACAAAAATCAGCAGCAGCCATCACCTTGAATGGAGACCTAGACCTAGACTCTAAGCAAAAGCGGCAGATTTCATAAGGAGGAGGAGACCATTGTCTCCAATTCAAGAGAACAAAATAATTCCAAAAAGCTTGAAAACGGCAGTCACGACCCCTCCATACACCCATCACATCCAGTCATAGAGCCTAATTAAAAAAAATGTGAAAAATTGGAAAGATATCACCATCCAGATTGTAGCCAAATTTTCCACCTTATCGTCTACTTCTTTGGAGTCGACAGTTAGTGATTCGTTCACTTCTCCTTACCTTGCTATCCACATTTGTTGTCAAGAGGATGTAGTTGTTTCCTCATGAGAATCTGCTGCGCCCATCGACTGCTACATTCTCTGTTATTGTAGCAACTTTGAATGTCCGGCTCTATTTGTAGTTCGAATGTCCGGTCGTTGGTTTTTGCTCAGTTCTGGATCTGTTTGAGAACATTGATTGTTCAACTTTTGGAATGGCAACATTGAAGACAACGATTTAATCACCTTGAGGTCCAATCTTTCACCCTTTATTCACTTTATTTCTTTTTACCATTATGTGTTATTTGTGATGGTATGAATCTGCAATCTTCCCTTTTAATTTTATTAGTTAGTTTGGATTTTATACATGTCGTATGTGGTTGTGCTGAAACCTAGCCAAAGCAAATAAATGAGCTACTAGTCATTAACTTGAATTGGACAAATTGGGCTGCTAGTCGTTGGATTAAAGAGAACAATTTCAAGGGATGTACTTTAAAATAAGGTTTGGCCTAAAAGTTATAGAATGAGGTAAAACATAAGTTGTTGTATTTCAAATTTCATATTTACATAGATCTATTTACTTTGATACCGCTAGGAGCATGCTAGGCCGTCAATGCTTGGGTAGGCAAGTCTTAAGATTTTGTTAGTTTTGAGGCGAGAGGTTGTTCTCTTAGTTAAATTTATCCGGAAAATTCCCCGTATAATTTGTATATATTTTATCCGGGGTACGCCCCGAAGTACTTGTATTTGGAGGCCCAAAGTGGAACTCGTAGTATTTTTATTGTTATTTTTATTTTTCTTTTATTAGGCAGGAACGACCTCAAGCCTCTTTCGTGTTTGCTTTCCCTTTTTCTGTGTTTATTATCTCAATTGGATATTTTAAAATCCAATTAGATCGAGTACGCAACCGTGACTTTCACGGGACTTGGGGAGTGCCTAACACCTTATCCCCGAGTCAAATGAACCCCCTTACCCGAATCTCTGGTGCAGACTTAATTTGGAGTCTCAAGTGTTTTGAAAGGAAAAAATTATTTTTAGAAAAATGGTGACCCGACACACCAAAATCAAATGTCAGGTGGCGACTCTGAGTTATTTTCCTTTTGAATACAATTTTTGTCACGTTCTAATTGGAAAACCCTTTTCAAGCTTTACAAATCCTTTTATTAATTTAAGAGGGTTTAGTGAAGGTTCTGTTAAAAAAGGGGGTGTGACATCTCTGGCGACTCTGCTGGGACTTGCAGGTTCGAGCTGGTACTTGATCTTGTTGACTTTTAGGATATTCGGTTGAGGTGTTTGTTTTCTTTATTTGCTTTGTTTATTTTCTTTGTTTTTCTTATTTCCTTGTTTTGTTGGTTATTTGTTTATCGCTTTTCTTAATGTGTTACTGCTTTATAAACTGTCATCATTTGCATAACCATGGGTCTTCTTTCTGCAACAAGTCTCGGAGTACGCGTCGCGTGCACGAACTCTTTGTTGAGT